CCGGGGAATGCCCTGGGGAAGTCTCGGTCCCTCTCACCCCAGAGGGTTTCCATCCCTCTCATCCGGGAGCAGCCCCGGTTCGGGACGGTCTCGGTCTCTCCCTCCCCGAGCCCGGGGCAGCCCCGCACTCCCACGCAAGGCGGACGCGGGATTTCATCAGCCTGCACCGCTCAGCGCGGCCGCTGGGGGCCCGCCCGGTCACCCCGGAACCGCGGGGCCAAAGAGGCCGCGACCCCGGCCCGGGGAGCGACCGAACCGGGCTGGGCCTCTCCGCCCCCCGCCATCCCCTCAGCGCGCCGGCACCGGGCGGAGCGGGGCGGGCACCGCTCCCACCTCCCTCACAATCACCCACCCACGCTCCCCGGCGTCCCGGGCCGTACCTGGCGGCGCTGAGGTGCAGGCGGCGGTCAGCGGCGYGGCTGAGGGCGCGGAGGGGCCGGAGCGCTGCAGCCATAGCGCGACCTGAACCCCACACGCGACGGGAGCAGTTCTGAGGGAAAACGCGGCTCCCCCGCCCTTTATATACCCCGTAAGCCACGCCCCCTCCGCGTCAGCCAATGGGGTTGGGCGCCAAAAACGAACGATTCCTTGAGGTTTTCRCCTTGGCGCACCTCGGCGGCTCCGCGGGTTGCGAAAGAGCTCCGCTCCTGACCTRAAAACGGCTCCTATGACCTGCGAGCGACCGCGACAGCTCAAAAACGGGTAAAAAATCATAGAAACACCGTGAGGATGGTTATTTTGGGTAATTGGCGTCACCTCCCGCAATGGGTAGCGGTGKTGGGGATCCTGGTGTTTATCGGGCGCTCGGGGAGCGGCACCGGGGCGGGGTTGGGGATGCTGGTGTTTATCGGGTGGCTCAGGGAGGCACAAAAACTGGGCCTGGTTTTATCCGGCACCGCCGTGWGCTCGGGATGAAACTGGGAGCTCGCTTTTCCCCGCTCCGGGGGAACGAGCGGTAACGCTCTCTCCCCCATCCCAATCTCGGGAGCCCCAAACGSAGCAGCCCCAGACTGGCCAGAGCACGACAGACGGATCCTCACGGTGGGATTTTGGGATTTCGGGATTGTGGGATTTCAGGATTTTGGGAGTGGACATGATCCATCTCTCTCCCCCATCCCAGACTGGCCAGAGCGTGGCAGACAGACCCCTATAGTGAGATTTAGGAATTTTGGGATGGGACATGATCCRTCTCCCGGATCCCACATCCGTGTGTACACAGGAGGCGGCTGAACTCGCTCCGCAGGATCCCAAAGCACTTCCAGGGTGGCCTTTACCTCTGTGCAGGTGTTGGCTCCTCCTCTGTGATCTTCTTCCTTCTCCCGGGCTGATCCCGCGGCGTGGGGAGTGGCCCCAGGGGGATTGTGCCCCTCGGCCC